ATGTAGTATCTAGTGCCAAAGTATATATAAAAAAAAGGAGGAGTAGAGTTTTCCTTTTATATGATTACAAGGAAGTTGTTTTGACGATCATACGTTCAAAATCAAATAGATACAACACAAGAAAGACCAAAAATATCAATCACTCAAACTATAAAAGCCATAAAAGGCAAAAACAAACCAACAAAATTGAGTAGATACTACCAGTAAATTACTTAATAATAAGCCACAAATACAATAATATTATTACATTTTCATCAATTTTTTTTCTATCACATTCAAAGAAAAAAAATTGACAGCCACAAAGCATACCACGTGCGTTAATAAGCTTTCTTTGACGATCATCGATTATCAATCCATCTACCCGGCAAAAAAAAAATTAAAAATACAAAATCCAAGAGGCACATACATAATCATAAATAAAGTATAATGACCAAAATCGATAAATAAATTTATAATTTTTTTGTAACTGACACTTAGCGCCTAGCGATACTCATCTAGAATCTAGAATCAATTCAAATTCTGATTTCGAATCAGATTCAAAGAACATATAAAAATGGAAGGAGTAGATCAAAAAAAAACCGGAAAAAACAAACCATATAAGGCAAAAGCCAGTAAATCGCACAACCAGAACATAATAGCAAAATTAAAAATCTCGTATATTATTAGTTCGACGCATGTACTGTATTCTAGATTGACCATATGGGTAATTATTTTTGAACCCGGACCAATTTATATATATGGCGTAATAACATTTTAGTCTGGATTCAAAAATAATTACCCATATAGTCCGATATAGAATAAATTATCAGCTCAATTCGAGTAACGTGCAACTCTATTGTTTGACGATAACGATATAAACCCGTAATGAGTACGACGTAGGAAATTACCATCGTCTCTACGTTAATGTCTGTGGCCTGCGTTAAATTGTTGTCGAGTAACGAAAAGCGCCCAACAAAACCATTATCCCCAAACTATTTAGATTACTTATTTTACTAAATTTAGAGCTTCAAGTATAACTTACTAACGCCTTTATCCCTGGTTTCTAGCGCGCAGCTATCTTATTTAGATCCTAAATTTTCGAAATTTTGCAAAACTTTCGTACTGGAGTGGAGTCATGGATCAGGTGCTAGAATTCTTAATCAGAAGGCATGGAAAGTTCATTGCCACAAATATTTTTAAATGTTTACTAGCAGAATATGCTGATTATGGCTTAGTTTGAATCTTCAAAGGTTTCAAATACGACTAAAAACCTTTGCCCAAATTTTTTTTAAATCTATCCAGCTTATCGTTATTATCGTTATAAATATGATTTGAGAACTTCATTATTCTCATAAACGTTTATCAATGATAATTAAAGATGGCATCTGAATCAGATAATTCTCACGTAATTGTAGTCGAGGAAGATTTAGATAAAAATAAACCAATTTTGGAACTTTTCTGCTCACCTAACTTAAAACATGTTGCTACATTGGACGAGGATAGAAATATTAAACTTTGGTCTATTGATAGTCAAGGACAATTTTTAAATAACGTTAAGAAAATTTATCTTAGTGATGGAAAAATATTTGGGATTTCAGATAATAAACATGTTTCAATTAGTCTTAATAGAGAAAAACCCTATAATTTCAGTAAGTTATACATAAATTTAATCTACTACGTACTATTTCAATAAATTCAATTGCATTTATCGTATTTATGCCCATTTTTTCAAGAAATTTTCGATTTTGAAACTGAAAAAGAGGTATTATTAACTTTTCCAGATTGGCAAAAGAAAATTGATTACTTATCCTTTATTGATAACGGAAATATCATAATGGTCAGTACTGAATATTACAGAGCATATGTTTTTTCAAGTAAAGTTGATAAGAGCTGGACTTGTAAATCAATGATTGAGCTGAAATATTTTAAAAAGATTTATATTACTCCTAAGGGCAAATTGATCATATTTAATGATACGATTTATGAGATCACGATGTGGGATATTGAAGAATTATCGATTAAAACTAGTATTTTAATAGATTGGAATTTTGTACCGAAATCTATTGAAATTAGCGATGATGAAAAATTATTAGTAGTATGCGCAATAAATGAAGAAACTAATGAAACACGTTTATATGTTTTTTCCACCGAAACTGGAATGAATTTGTCATCACGTAAGTATTTGTATAAAGAATTAAAATGATTATATAAATTTCTTTAAAGTTCTTTTATATCAAATATTGGTTTTATTTTAGTTGATACACAATTGGTAATAGATAGCATTCACTTAATTGCTTCTAAAAAAGGAGAAAGATTATTATATATTTCAGGAAAGCAATATAATTTAGTGGACCCTTATAATCTCAAATTACCAAAAAGTGCGAGCAAACTTTTTAAAAGAAATAATACTCAGATTCAAGAACCATACATAATTCGATCGAATGAAATATCGGATAAAATAATTTATACGATTGACGGAAGAGTGTTAGTTGAAGAATTAGTGCCTGATGATTCTGGTGATTGGGTCAAGTATTTACGAAAAGAACTGAAAGACACAAATAGCATTACAGCTCTGTCTAAGAAGACAATTGATATTGTTAATGAAATTATAAATAAAGAATTAACTGATTATTATAATGTTGGCAAAGAATTTGAAGGGGAATATTTAAAATGGGGATTAGAGTTAGACGATACATCAGTCAAACTTACGGTAAATGAGTATAATTATCTCAGGAAGAAGTGGAACCCCAAAAAATATCTAGATATTCTTCCATCATTTTATCCTAATGGAAGAAATTTTATACTACATTGTGATGTTCTTGAAAATGATGATTTCATTACGATTACACGTGTTGGTGTAATTATTTGGACTTATAAACCCGACTTTAAGTTGGGTGACATTAAGAATATCAAGATGCATTATTATTGGAATTATTGGAATAATGGTTTAGAAGAATTTGAATTTGAAATGGTAAAATTTAAAACTTTCTTTAACAATAAAATCTCAGGAAGAATTCTTCCTGTCTCAAGTTATGAAACAATTTATAAGAATTTAGATATTGAATTTGGCCAAGAAAGTAATAGAATACGGCTTTTCGATTTGTTTTTGAAAGATAATATCGTTGAAGAATTTTATTTAACTTGCTACGGAAAAATTCTCATGGAAGCATTTATTAAATTAAAAGATGATAAATGCATTAGAGCTTTAGGCGGCAGCTGTTTGACTAAGCTTATGCAAAATGATAATCACATGATTTCTAAAATTTCTTTGTTGAGCATTATTTTTGAACACTTTAATGACTTATCAGAAAATCATCCTGCATTTATAGCAAGTACTTTAGCCACGATAGGATTTGTAGCTCCTTCTAATAATATAATTACACACTCCAAATCTTCACATCTTTCTGGTTATGGAAGATACTGTCATTTATCTAAAACATCGCTTATTGATATATTTACATCTAATCTTTGGATTCTCTGGATTAGTTTTAAAAAAAGATTACAAACTTGGCTTGAAAGTTTTCAAGAAAGGCATACTTTTTTTCGAGAATTCATTATAGAACCAATTATCAATTTTTATTCTGTGAGCTATAGTACAACAATACTTGCAGTTCCTTTACCATACTTCGTTTCTTATCCAAAAGATTATAAACTTTGGAAAGAACTATTGTTACCATGTAAAAATTCTTTTACACAATCAAATAAAGTTGAGATAATAAATGAAGAATTTTATAGATATTTAAATGGAGAAGCACTACTTAGATTTAAATGGAGTGCTTATGGAAGGATATATTTTTTTTCAGCCTGGGCAATTTATACTGTTTTTCTTCTTAGCTTCATAATTGCTGCAACATTTTACAAAACTATTTCTCAAACTAGTCTATATATTCTCTTAAATATAACCTTTTATCTTGGAATTTGGCACTTATTTTGTGAATTGCGTCAATTTATTTTCTCTCCATTAAATTATATGTCTAGCGCATGGAATTTTTTTGGTAATATGAATTTAAGTATAGTATTGATTTTTTTTCAAATTATGACTGATATCTTTTTTTGCTCATAAACTAAGATTTCGGCGCATTTTTAGTGCCAACGATATCATCAATTAAATGGCTTCAAAATAATGCCATGCCAACAGAATTGGCTACCTTTTCTACTTTATTATTAGAAATCAAATTTCTTTTATATTTTCGTGCAACTGATCTTTTGGGTACTTATTTCTCAATGATACTTGGAGTAGCTAAAAGGGGATTTTCGTTTTTGATAATATTAGGATTTATTTTAGCCGCATTTGCACACTCATTACACCTTTTATTACGTCCTGCTACTAATGTTTCCTTAGAATCTCCAAGCTATTCCAATGATCCGAATGATCCGTGGAATTTGGCTACAACTTATAACGCTATAGATCCTGATGGAACAATTGAAGACAGTGCTTCACTTATTGAGCCTCCTACTGCGACTACAAATATGTTTATGATGATGAGCACAGCAATTTCGGCCGTTTATATTATGCTAACAGGTGAAATTTAATTTGTTCTTTGTTTGAAAATTGCTATGCATAATAGGTGCCAATAAATAGCTTTTCTATACTAGCATTATAATGTTTACATTTTAATAGGAGATTCAACACCAATTTCTTACTGGGATTTAGATAGTAATCCCACTTTACTTATTTTAACGATATTATTTTCTTTTGGGACAACTATTTACTTAATGAATTTATTTATCGGTTTGCTAAGTAATGCAATAAGTGAGACTCAAACTAAAGAAGCGTATTTAATTCTAAGAGCTGAGGTATGATCTTTATAAATATTTTACATATATACATATATACATATATTATTAAGATTTTATTAATATAGGTATTAGAAGAAATTGAGTTATTATATATGTTACCTTATCAACGAAGAAAGGAAAATTGGTTTCCATTTGTTATGTAAGTTATTTACCTATATGCAAAACAAAACGTTATTTCTATTTCTATTACTCATCTATTTTTATCTTAAAAGTTTTTATGAATGTCACATAGTTAAACTTCGTGATCTTGTAATTGACATTACCCAAAATAATAATTGGTCAGGTTACAAAAAACCTTCCATTTCAAAGAATCTTAAAGAAGTTCTTTCACTCCCTGAAGAAGAACCCTCTCTTACAGATGTTGAGGATACTATTCAAAAGCAAATTGAAAAAACTATAAAAGAACTAAAAGAATTAGAAACTGTAAACTATAAAGAAATCTTGAAGGCCATTAATGAGCTGAAAAAATAAATTAAATAATGTTTTTACCTTAAATAGATTTAAGCAATTTCAATATTTTAAAATTGAATAAAACTAATTTATCCGGCAAACTCTTATGCTCATAAATAAATTTCTGCACGTTATTTTTTTCATGTGATACGATGTAATCGTGTTATTAAATTAAAACTCAGTCAACCACTCTACCGATCATGATCATAAATTGCCGGTTAACAACATTATTGGTGTTACGACCAGGGGAGAGACTTTGCTGGGCCAATTTAGTTTAGGGTCGTAAGCATTAATATGAGAAACCAATTATTTATTAACAAACACAGGCACCATAAAGTACTAAACCAATATCTCTTTATTGTGTCCCAGACACTAACAGAAAAATATTCCTATTTACTAACCAACCTACCGGTAGTACGTTCCTAGCGCACTAAAACCCAAAATACAAATCAACTAAATCCTCTAACATCCGCTAAAATCCTCCTTCTAACTAACGTTCTATATGTCTCAATTTATACATACAATTAACTACAAATTAACTATAGACTATTTACAAATAAGTCGTATAAATATAAAGTCTAATAAATTTTGCATAGACTATTATAGAGTTACACTGCAAAATTAAAAATGTTACACAAGCTAAAGTTTAATTAAACTTGGTTGTGTAACATTGGGCAAATTTGCGAATACGGTAATTTAGCAAATGATTGGCTGCACGTGTTCATTTGCCAAATTGCCGTTATTCACAAATTTTTGCCCAATAACGGTAATGTATACTTAACACATTTGTGTTTGAAACACGGGTTTTGTGTAATATATATAGTAGGGATGCTATCCTGCTCCAGCCGGTTAGTTTGTGCTTAAAAACCCGTTGGAACACTGTTTCGGAGCATTTTCATAAAACCTGTTAACGCTATTACTATTTATTAAAGCAAATATATAAAATTTACATTTAAAATATATAAATTTTTTGCATTATAACTTTTATTGTATCTATCGCTATTATTTATATATTTATCTACGCAATTGATTATACCCAATTATTAACCTTCATTACATTTAATAATACCCACATAATACCAGTTCTTGAGAAAGCATTTTCTAATACGTATTGGGTGGCCCAAAAATCCGTTGTTAACTTGTGAACACAAATTTTTGTTGACTTGAGTTAAAAAAATTACGATGATCATTTTGCTTATCATAATATAGTTTTGAAATGCTTTGATAACTAAATTGTTTCAACTAAAGTGCATTTTGAGACATTGAATTTAAAGAGATAGGTTCAGTTGAATGAACAACTGTTCAAGTGTATTATCTTCGTCTATCGAATAGTAAAATTTAGGCTAAAAAAAAAAAAAAAAAAAAGTATACTCAAAAAAAAAGAAGTCGCATATTGTTTAAAAAAAATTAAAAATACTAATTGTTATCATATCACATCACAATAAATATTAATTTTTGTTCGTCATAATGATAGTAATTTAGATCATTTTACTCATCTAATCGACTTCAAACTCGTTTGGAGCTTGGAGGAGTTTAAATACAATAATGAAAATTATGTGGCCGCAAAACTCGAATTCCATTGGTTTCGGGCTCAAACAGGGGTCGAACTGAGTTCGGGCAAGCAGGATACATCCCTAATATAAAGGGACACAGCAACACATGATTTATCTCCTTTATCAACACAGCAATGATCGACATGAGTACCCCAGATTTTGACCAATCAAATAATAGAATACTTTTGCGAAAGAAGAAGATATCTCAACAGTCACTAAGGCAAACACGATAAATTTTTTATTTGAATTCCACGTATCTATAGAATCCAAATAAAAAAATTCATTGAATTTTACATGGTGATTGTCGAGATATCTTTGAAAAAATTCAACAAAATTCAAAATGTTTATCAAATGTAAGGTGTGCCAAACTTTTCAAACTTTGAACGAAGATATCTTGAGACACTTTAAGAACAGTTAACCTAGTGATCAATGATCACATGATAAACATATCATGACGTCATTTGTTTACCAGAATTAAATAGATTTACCAAACTATATCCTTACCATAACTCTAAACTAACCCTAATCCAGGCTGAATGATTGACACGTGATATTGTGATCATTACTAGGTTAACTCTTCTTCAATTTATCCAAAAATTTATTGAATTTTGCTTGGTGGTTAGTTTAAATTTTAAAAACAAGTTTGGCACAGTTTCTGTTTTGATAGGCATTTTGAATTTTGTTAACCTTTAACCAAAGATATTGTGACAACTATACAAGTTAACTTTTGTAATCTTTTTTATTATTTTGAGTTCATTAAATCTATAGAATTAAAATTAAAAAAAAAAAGCATTGAATTTGGCTTGTTAATTATTATTTTTTTTTTTTTTTTACCTTCACAATGTCGCAGAAGGGCGAATTTTTATTAGGTATATTAGTAGTACATTCTTGGTTAACGAGAATATATTCTAGTCATACCTGTGTCTTTTGAGCATCTAATTAAGAAGCTACCTATTACTAGGGTCTACACTAGATGCCGTACCTATAACCCACTATTACTTAAGCTATCTAATTAAACTCTCTGGTGTTTCCTGTCTTGCACTACCACCTGAATTATGCCAACCCATAACCTCGTGCTACTTCATTGAAGACCACCCAAATCGACATGTGCTACACTACTTGTGCTCTAATTCGATAGATAACCCAGTAGGGTTTTCATACTTACTGGGTTACCTTAGAGAAGATGTAGTATATACCCTTCTAATCCTTCTATGTCACACACATTTCTAGACTAGGCCTTTTCGGTAACTTACGCTGAGTCTGAGGACAAGTACTTGTGAGTTGAGGCCGCTACAGTTACCTACTACTGCCTTTGTAGAGTTTATCCAAATCCTGGTATCTATTTTATGGACTTCCTCCCATACCTCTGAAAACCCAAACTCCCAATCCGATGTTCCGGAAAGACAGAACTCTTTCTCCAGTTATCCTACAGCCTGGTTGGTATAGTGCCTTGACAAACACCTCAGTCTCATCCAGTTTTCTGGTATCCAGTTGATCATCCTTTACATAGTAACTGTCGAAGATTTGTGCTACCTCTTTACTCGGATTTTGCCAAGCAGGCTTTCATATCCTATAAATTCACTAGATTTATCTGGTAGCTTCATTTGGGTTTCATATAACTCATACATCACACTACATATTTCACTACTTCCCAGTACAAGCTGGAATAACCACTATTACAGGTTTTATAACCCAATAGGATACAGTCTTCCAAATGCATTTTCTGTAAATTCAAATTTTCATCACTAGTAGAATTCGAACCTAGTCCTACTGCTTGGAGGTGCGACAACTTGCCAACTTCACTAAGTCGCTACACCATGGCTTGTTAATTATTAAAATAGCTTTGTTCAAAGTTTGATAAATTAAAAACATTTATTAAAATAGAAGCTGTATTAAGCTTTTTTATAATTTGAACAAAAATATCTTGACAATCACCAAGCTAAGCTCAATAAGCTTTTTTATTTAGATTCTACAAGTTAGTAAAATCTAATCTAAACAAAAAAATTTATAAATTTTGCTTGGCATTGTCAGAATATTTTTATTCAAATTTTGAAAAACAATTTAGTGCAACTTTTATTTTAATAAATATTTAAGTTTATCAAAATTTGAACAAAAATATCTTGACAACATCAAGTCAAATTTGATAGATTTTTTTTTGAATTTTATATATGTATAAAATTCAAATAAAAAAGATATATAAAATTTGGTTTTATAACTATTAAGATATCTTTACTCAAATTTATTTTTTATAAATGTATTTTATGATTTGATTAGTCAAAATCTGGGGTATTCATATCAATCATTTCTATATTAATAAGAGAGATAAATTATATATTGTTGTATCTGTAGCTTTTCTCTATATAAATCAAAATAATTTTATTAAAAACAATTACTATTTGTATATAAAGTGTTTAAATACTTGTTATACAAGAAATTAAATATAATATACAAATCAATTTTATATAACAAAAATATAGAAAAAATGAAAATTAATAATATTTTAAAATTTTATTTATAAAACTATCTTTTAAACTTAAAAAAATTTTCTTGCTAAATTTTATTATAAATTATGTTTATTAACTCTAATCTTTATATTAATTAAAATTAGAAAATTTTTATTTGTATACTATGTATATATTATATATATAAATAAAAAAAGTTAATCAAATTATATAATTAGGTATAATACAAATTATTGCTTTCTTTAAAAAATTGATTTACCAAAATTTTATTATAAAACCATCTTTGAATATTAATAAAAAAATATTTTTTGCAAAATTTTAGTATAAAATATCTTTTGCCATTATCATTAGTTCTATTTTTTTTTTTTTTTTTTTTTATTTTGAATTTGCTATATACATGATAAGATTAGTTACAGATTTATATCAAGATGATATTAATTTAAACTATCTATTGTATCTTGTATAACCACCTAAGTGTAGCAAATCACCTCTTAATTTTCTATTTATAAACTAATTTAAGACTAGCTACTA